CAGTACAAGGAATTATAAGCTTCAAGGCAGTCAGACCAGCTGGCCTCATCCCCCAAAGACTGATGGGGGCTGGGTTTTTTTTTTTCTTTTTTCGTTTTCCTTTTTTTGCCAGTTTTATAAGGTTGGCAAGGCTGAACTAGGAAGACTAAAGTTCTAGTGTTCCAAGTTCTAGGCACAACTCCTGGAGACCCCTTATCTCAATCAAGGATGAGCACTCAACAGTAACAAAAGGATTATAACTCTCAGAATGCCTTAGGTAGGCAGATCCTAAATCATTTGTCCCTGGGCATGGAAAATTGAGTTTCTTAAGGCTTTTAATACTAGACAGGAGACAGAACCAGGATGACTGGTTCTTAGGTGGGCTGGGGAGCCATAAGCATCCAGGTCCTCATCTGAGTACTTCAGTTTTAACAATATTGGATTAGAGAACTACAACTCCCAGAATTCCTAAGGGCCAGCCCTTACTGAGAAAACTGGAGTAAACGCAGCTAGAATTGGCAATTTGGGTCTCTGAGGAAAGAGGCTGAGCCCCTGGATGTCTATGTCCTCACAGGTCAAAGTTAATTCTTGGAATCAAGAACCTACAGGGGTTGGTGATACAGTTCAGTTGGTAGAGTGCTTGCCTTGTATGCACAAGGTCCTGGGTTCAATCCCCAGCACTGCAAAACAAACAAACAAACAAACAAAAAACCCAAAAAAACCCCAAAACCCTACAATTCCCAGAGTGCCTCTGGAGAAGCCAATTCTCTGCCCAGGGGCTGATGGTCATTGTAGTTTTGGGCATGGGTGGAACCGCATGAGACGGGGTCAGTAGTGGGGCCTACCTCACCCAGGAACCAGGTAGTGAGGAAGCCAAAGAGGACGGCATCATTGGCCTCGCGGTCATACCAGGGCACCCCGATGTTGCAGGTGTCCCAGAGCTCTCCCTTCCAGCGTTCCAGGGCCCAAGCTGAGGCCCCCACGTCCAGGAGCACCACCAAGGGCCCCCCCTCGATCAGCCAACGTCCAAAATACACCTGGGATGGGGTACAGGAAAGCTCAGGGCTTTTGCAGTTCTTCTATCTCCTGGCACAAGCCCAGTTCTCTCATCCTTTGTATTTGCTGCTGACTTCTCACCCGTTGCCTTATTTCTGTTTGCTGTGATTTATTTCCACCATACTCTTTTGCTACCTCTGTTCCAAAATTTCCTGGACCCTTGGTTAGATTCTGTAACTGCTACCGTTCTTCCACTCCACTCCCTCCTTTCACTTCAGGACTCTGTCCCCCGCTGCCTTGTTGCCTCTACCTGATGCCTTGTTTCGGGGTCTGCTGCCACATTTCTCTTAGCAATCACCTGGTGCTTTCTCCCATTGTCTTCTGTCTGTGACTACTTCCTTCCACTGGAAACTTTGCTTACTGTTCTTGTCGCCACCTCTACCCCACCTCCCTGCCTTGTTTCTGTCCCTTTCACCATACATTTGTCACCTGTTACTTCTTCTCTCTGTCCATAGGCCCACTTTGTAGTCTGCAGCCACATTTCTAGCCCTGCCTGTCCTCTTTCTCTGCCCCAAGGCTGAATTTTTCTACCCACTCCATGTTTCTGAGTCTTGCTGTCTCATTTCAGCCCTTCCACATTTTTCTTGAGACCGCGGCCTTGGTTCTGGGCCTGCTGCCACACCTCCAGCCAGTGGATGAGGAATCATCCTCCCCCAACCACGCCAACCTGGCTTTTCCCTGGGACGCCCCTCCTCCTCCCAGCTGTTGTCTGCCCTTTTGCTGGGGGGGCTATTCTTAGGAGCAACTACCCTGGGGGAGGGACTGGGCTGTGCTGGGGTCCTTTAGGGACACAATCTGGCCTGACTGGACTCCAGACCCCATCCCCCAAAGAGAGACTAAAGAGTGGAGGAACCACTGTACCTCTGCCTCCCAGCCTCCCACCTGTCTGTCCCTTCTGACAGCTGCCTCATGGGCTTCTGAATGGAAGCTGCCTCACTTTTGGTCTTCATCTTAGGGCCCTGGAACTTTCCCGTCCTCTCTTTAGTCTCTGGATTTGCGCATCTCAGACTCTGCCCCCTGGGTCTGTCTGCCTGCCTCTCCTTTCTTAATCAATATTCTATCTTTCTCTCTGAAGCATCCAGCAGCCTCTCTCCTATACCTAGAAGGTGTACATCTCTCTCCCTTGTCAGCCTGTCTACCTCGCTGTCCAGGTTGGCTATTTATAAGTCATGATGATGGCAGTGGTGGTTACAATGATGATAATAGCTCATACCAGACGGCCACCTTCATGCAGGAACCATGCCAAAGACATTATGGTTATTAACTTTTCACCCTCCCAGCACCCCTACAAGGTAGATGCTATTAGCACATTCATTAGCAAAGGTCACACAAGGCAGCAAGCAGAGGCTGACTTTGAACTCTTCAACTTCCAGATTCTTGCTCCAGCACACTTGCCTTCGCCCAAACTGACCTCCCCTGGGCTCCCTCTGGCTGGCTGTATTTCTGTCTAGCTTTCTTTCTCTACCTGGGTCTGTTGGATCTTGGCTTATTGAATTGATCTGTCTATCCATTCACCAACACACTCGATCCACCAGCTTGGACTTCACGGGATCCTGATCTGCCTATCAGCCTGGCTGTCCACGCCTCCCGCTCTCCACTCCCTGCCCCTTCCTTCTCCATCCTCTGCTTATACCCTGGGGGAGGGCCCTGGGCTCCTGCCCTCAGCCATGCCATGTCCCACCTTGCAGCCCTTGCTGTTCATGGAGTCCAGCGTCCTCTTCAGGGCCGCGGTTGGGGGCTCCAGCAGCTCCACCTGGGTCCTCACACCCTGCTCCGTGTACGGTCCCACCAGGTAGTAGTTGTCGCCCCACTCATCCCCTGTCACCTTCGCCTTCGTCTGGAGCACCGTGTAGATGCCCCCCACTGTGGGCCCAAGTGCATGAGGGCAGGCCCCAGCTGTGGTCTATAGGTCTGGGACCTGGGGTGGGGGTGGGACCCCAGATCTCCAGCTCAGGGCAAAAGGGGTCTGGGAGCCCATACTTTGGAGTCAGAGGAGAGGGAATAAGGGTTGGAGGCTTGGATCAAGAGGAAAGGGGGCGAGAGGGTAGTCCTCCTGGGTCTAAGGAGAAGGGGGGCTGGGATCAGGACACTGAGGAGGAGGGGGCTTGAGCTAGACTCCTGGGTCTGAGGGAATTAGGGTCTAGGAGCTTGAGGATGGCAGAGGCTGAGAATCATTGGGACCCAAGTTTGTGGGCTCCTGGCTTTCAGGAGCTGGGTTTAGATTCTCGGTCAGCTTCAAGACACAGTGGGAAGAACTCTTTTTCATTGCCCTATTCACCTTTCCAGTTACCTAAGAGAAGCCTGAATTTTCATTCCCTATCCCCCAAGAGCCCTGCAGCTCTGTCTCCCAGTCCCTCCTCCCTGACTGGGGACATAGGCATGCAGCTGGTCCTCATGATCCCATCTCAAACCCAGGAGTCTGGGCCCCCTAAGGGCATCCTCACCTCCTGGAGCCCAGGCCCTACCAATACATGGATCTGCGTCCACAAGCCCCCTCTCATGCTGGGAGGCCCTGTCCCTTTTTCTCCAAGCCCCAGCAAAGCAAACCTCAGACCCCACTCTTCTGAGGAGTGAAACTGAGACTGCCTAGCTTCTGGAGATTCCAGCCTCAGCTTTCTCCAAAGCTAGAAGCTCAGGCTCTTGGAAGCCAAGGACAGAGAAAAGCAGGCTCCCAGCCACTCCCATCCTAGAGCCCAGCCCCTGACCAACTTAGGACTTCCAGCCTTCCCCATCCCAGTACGCATGTGTCCAAGGCCATGGGTTCCACTACTCCTAGGAACCCATGTCTCAGGCCCCAGATTCTTTCAAAGCCCAGGCATTCAGGCCCCTAACTCCCTCCCACCTTAGCACCTAAGAATTAGGGTCTCCAACCCCTGCCCATCTTTATTCTCAAGTGGCCAGGTTCCCAGATGCTCCCACAACAAACCATGCATCCTATCTCCTAGTGGCTCTCTCTCCAATCCAGAATTATACCCAGAGAACACTTTCTCCAAGACCATGGGTCTGAAATCTAGCTGCTCCCCAGGTTTGCATGCAGAAGTCCCATCCCCCCAGCCACTCCTTCCCTGTTCAGGACCCAGATCTCTGGTCTTTGGGAAGCCTTCCTCCAGATACAGGAAGCTTTCATTTTAGTGCCCTCTCCTCTGAGACACAGTTAGGACCTGGAAGCCTCCTTCCATCTTAAGTCTCTCTTCACTTTCACTCGCTGGGCCTAGGAGACATACTCCAGCCCCTCCCCAAGGACACAGGAGTCACAGGCGCCTTGCCCAGAACCCAAGAGTCCCCCATGTAGTTCTGCCCCCCGAGTCAGAGTTTCGGGCCCCCATCCCCAACCGCCCTTCTAGTCAAGGGCCCGGACGCCTGATGTGCTCACCCTTGTTGGCCACCTCCCAGGCCACCTCGAAGAGCACCGTGTTCTCCAGGTCGAACTCATCCTCCCAATCCTCCAGTCCTGGCAGTGAGGACATGGACAAAGTGCGACTTAGAGGCATGGCTGGCCCGGAAGGGGTCTCAGAGGACCACAGGTGGGACCCCGGAGGTGTCCAGGGAATGCACTAGGTAGAGTGAGGGGCCGGGTAGCGGGTGTCGGACGGGAAGCTTGCAACGCGCCCAGCTTCCTATTGCACGACCGCACCCCCGCCCGGCGGCGTTCTGACCTGGGCAGGAGGCGGTCGCGGCGTCACTGAGCTTGGTGGTGGCCCTGCAGTGAAACCTTGCGGCCACCAGGAGGCGGTGCCCGCCCCCAGTCAGCGCCATTGGCCCGCACCCGGGGGGCGGGGGCTTCCGCGTCTCCTGATTGGTGGAGCGGATCGGGTTCGTTCAGCGCCTCCACCGCTGTAATTGTGGATGCTAGCTCCATGGGGAGGGGCTTGTCGCTGCGCTGAACGGAAACGATTGGCTTTTAGATCTGTCAATCTGAAGCTGGAGGCCCTAAAGTGGGGAGGAAAAGGGTGGGATAAAGAGGAACCGGAGCGTGGAGGACGTGTGGTTGCTAAAAGCGGTGTGAAGAATTTTGCAATCGGCCTCAGCAAGAAGTGGGCGGGTAGAGGAGGCGGAGCAAGGAGATGTTGGGAGGGACCCCGGAGTTCCGGACACCCGGCTTATGGTTCAGCCTCGCTTGATGGGCGGGCCCTGACAGTGCCGTCCCGCCCTCCGAGCGGAGTTTACTCACTTAAGAGGAACCATCGAGACCTTTGGAGGACTTGCTAGCCTAGAGCGCCCAAACCCCTCGCTCCGATCACGTTTCCGTTTCCGCTAAGGCAGTAGCGGTTGGTGAGCATCATGGCAACCGTGGTAAGTGTTGGCGCGTGGAAGAGGGGAGACACGAACCCACACTCTCGAGTCTCAGGGAGGCCCGGAACCCTGGTCTGAGGGAGGAGGGCTGGGCCTGGATCCCCGGGTCTGAGGGAGGTGGGCTGGAGTCTGGATTCTGGGACTCCGTTTGAGGGAGGAGGACTGGGCCTGGACCCCTGGGTCCGAGGGAGGAAGCAGCCGAGTTCTCAAGCTCCTGGGTCTGAAGGAGTGAGAAAAGAATAGGTTGGGATACCTTAATCTCAGATCCGACCCCCATCGTGGTGGGAACTCCAATTCCCAGGATCCTCTGGGCACAATCAGGGCCGGTTCTGCAGTCTTTTGCCCCGGTGTCTGTTGAGGGTTGTGTTATCTTGGGTTCCAATCCATTTGTGGTGCGAGTGGCCCCTGTGTTCCGAGGGGGACGAGCAGAAGAGGACCTGTCCTATGTCCTTGTGAGCATGAACTCATTCAGCGGGTCATTGGCAGGACGAGTGTTGAGTTCCAAAAGTGTGTCCGTGGGGAAGATCCCAGAGGTTGAGATCTTTCCATGGAACCGTTTTGGCTGTTTTCCAGCAAGTCATACAGGACTTGTTTCTGTGTGAATGCTCAATAAACTGTTACTGGAATGTTTTGGTGAACATGTGAACCCCAAGGAGCTGAGACCTGGCATGTGCTCCAGAAACAACTGAGTGATGAAATAATACGGCTTGAACTTGGGGGTTAGGCTTGACTTCCAAATGCCTCAGTTCCTGTGGTGACCCCCAATCAAGATTAAGGAAGGGCAGGGGAGTGTGTTAAGTGTGTTGCTGTTACTATGGCAAGGAGGAGAAGGTCCATAGGGAAGAAGGAAAGGACAGTGACATCCTGCGGACGAAATACTGGATGGTGATTACTGAGTTAGTTTCATGTGTGTATCTGTTGGAGGGCATTCTTGGGATCAAAGCCAGGGCCTCACACGTGTTGGGTAAGTATTCTACCTCTGAACTATACCCTAGCCCAGTACTGGTGATTGTTTTTGTTTTGTTACTAGGCTTTTTTTTTTGTGTGTGTGTGTGTGTGTGTGTAGTGCTGGGGATTTTGTCCTTTTTTTGGTATCAGGGATTGAACCCAGAGGTTTTCTACCTCTAAAGCAACATCCCCAGCCCTTTTTATTTATTTTGAGAAGTAAGTTGCCCAGGCTGGTCTCAAACTTTTAGACCTACAACTTCAGCCTCCCGAGTCACTGGGATTACAAGCATGCACCAACACACCCAATTCTAGTCCTGAGTTTTTAAATGATCTTGGATCCCACTGGGGCCAGCAGGCAGCAGGGTATAGAAGCTTATAGTGAAAGGAAAAGACCTTGTAGGGAGCAGTTTCTCTCAAGAGGTCTGTTTATATCAGGACAGCAAAGTTTAGGATTCCTAGATCCATGTCTTCCCCTCATAACCCCCATAAAGGATCTGTGTGTTTGGGTGAGGGGTGTTCCCAGCCTTCTGGTAGGAGCTTGGGGAGGGGATAGGGAGTGTGTCTCATGTTCCTGGGTTGCAACCTGCTAAAGGAGAAAGTAGGTAGGAAAGATCACATAGCAAGGAAGAAGGCTTATGACCATGTGGTCAGGAAGCCTCAACCCAGGGCTCCTGAGAGAGGAAGCTTCCTCTAGATAATGTCTGTCTGCCTTCTCTGGTGGGAAAAGAGAAGAAAGAGCTGTGGAAAGGAAGGAGTTGGGGCAGGTGCTGACAGGCTGGGTTGGATGCTGGCTACTTAGTCTTCCTTTTCCTTATTGGAAATTATGAAATAGCCTGAAGTGTCAGAAAATAATATAACAGACAATCATGGGTCTACCACCTGAGTTTCTTTTTTTAAAATATCTTTATTGAGATATAGTTCATATAGCATACAATTCACACATTTGGAGTGTACTATGCTGTGGCTTTTAGTGTATTGATAGAATTGCGCAACCATCTCCACAATCAATTTTAGAACATTTTCATCATTCTAAATAAGAACCCCTTACCTCTTTCTGAGCACCCTCTGATCTTCTTGTACCTCCCACGTTGGCCCTAGGAAACCACTGATCTACTCTATGGATTTGCCTATTCTGAATATGACATGTGGTCTTTTCTGTGGGAACTTCATTCACTTAACATATTTTCAGAATTCATCAATATCATAGCAGGTATTGAAACATCGTTCCTGTTTATAAATGAATAGTATTCTGTTGTGGGTAGACCATATTTTTTTCATTCATTAGTTGATGGACATTTGGGTTCTGTCCGCCTTTTGGCTGTTGTGAATAATGCTACCATGAGCATTCATGTAGGTTTTTTTGTGTGGCTCTCCAGGGAGTCTTGAATTGTCCCAGGTGAGCCGAGTCCCACCCCGAATGAGAAAGGATGGTGCTGGTTTCTCAAACTGGAGACACAGGAGGCCTCATGTTTTTCTTTTTTGTTTGTTTTGTTTTTTGTTTGCAGTGCTTGGGATTAAACTCAGGGGCCTCACGTGTGCTGGGCAAGTGTTCTTGCCACTGAGCTATTTCCCCAGCCCAACATACATAGTTTTACATGAGCTCAATGATGTACATTTCAGGCCACAAACATTGAGGCCTGAGGTGAACAGGAGAGGTGTGGGCTGTGCTGCCCTTCATGGACTCACATCCAATGGAGTCTAAAACATTGATCCAAGAGTCTTCCTCATGAGTGAGAGCTTACATAGGGTGAGGGGGTGATTGGATTCCCAAGCAAGGTCCTTTCATCTTTCTGAGCACCCAGAGGCCCTTAAACTAGTCCAGCAATGGCAGTCATCAGGAAGGGCATCCCTTAGAGGGTAACACTTGATCTTATTCAGTGGGAGGTAGGGGGAGAGAATAGGCGGCTGGACTGAGAACCAGCATGTGCAAGGTCTGATGGCAGAGAGCTGGGACATCATGGGACAGGGGTGTGGTCAGTCAGCTGGGGCCAGATCACCTCCAGCTCTGTGCCTGCTCTGCACTGGCGTCTGCATGATTAGTGGGGATGGAGACGACTTCATTCATTCATCAGATAATTCCTGGGGTCCGAATGTGTAATAGGCCCTGAGAACAGAGCTGTGAATGAGATGGACAGTCCTTGTCTTCTTGGACTCAACAGTGTAGTGGGGTCAATCACCTAGTCGTTGGTGACAGCTCAAGGGTGAGAATGACTGGTGTTTGGTCTGATGCCTATCTATGAGGTAAAGGAACAAAGGGGTGTTTCTGCTGGGAGGCAGGAGGGAGGGACAGAGGAGGAGCTGAAGAAAGCTGGGACTACAAGTTTCCTTCCTAACAACTTCCTACACCCCCAGGCGGCCACAACCAAAGTCCCAGAGATCCGTGATGTGACGAGGATCGAGCGCATTGGTGAGTGACTGAGCTCAGGAACAGGACCTAGACCCTGCCTGCCACATGTCCTGCTCCTGTCCATTAAGGGAGGATCCTGAGTTCCAGAGTGGGGTCAGATAGGTGGCCACACGGGGCCCCAACCCAGGTTATGTTGCTAATGCTTGGCTACTCAGTAGGCTCCTGGGTGTACCTGCCTGAAAGTCATAAAAGAGGCCCTCCACTGGGAGCTTTCTGGGGTTGATCCTGAGCCATGTGCCTCACACACCAAGAACACACCAGGGCCTGTGCTCCCTGAGGGTTGGGCCCAGGTCTAGCTCATTCCTCCCTGTGTACGAGCATGGGGTTTCCAGAGCAGAGGCTCAGCAGACAACCTCAATTGCATGAGCCTCTGTGCTTTGGAATCTTCTCAATAACCTAGGAGGTGCATAATGATCTGTTGTCCTGTTTTTAGCTAAGGTCACTGAATCTCAGAGTGTCCACGTAACTGGCCCACCTCACACAGCAAACAGCCAGGTCCAGGAGCAGAAAGTTGAGGCACAGTGGCTAGCAAGGTACAGCCCCTAGATGGACTTCTTTTGGAGGAAAGAAACTGAACTCATTCATTCAGAGCCTCTGAGAAAGGCAGGAAGGGATTATGGCTCTGAGCTTGGCTTCTGGAAGCTTATTGCTAGAGTCTGAGCTCAACTTCTGCCACTTCTGAGCTTGTGGCTAGGGACTTCATCTCTCCGGGCCTCAGTTTCCTTGTCTGCCAAATGGAGCTAAGATAGTTCACCTTGGTAAACATAAAATTCAATAAGATAATCTGTATGAAGCACTTGTGTAGGTATCAAGAGTACTTTACCCATCAAAGGGCCAGGTCTTGCTGGAGCTGAGGACCTGGTGAAGACTAGCACCACCTTGTAGTTTCCGTTTAATGCTTATAGTCTACCACAGTGGTTGGCAAATCTTTTCTTAAAGGGCTAAATGAAAAATCTTTGAAGAAACTTACTCAACACTTCCACAGTGCAAAAGCAGCATAGTTGGTGAACGAGTCAGTGTAACTATGTTCCAGTAAAACTTTATTTGCAAAGCCCATAGGCTGTAGTTTGCTGGGCCCTATTCTGGTGTGAAGCACTGGAGTTCTGTCTTCACTCTCACTGGCTGTGTGGTCTGGGGCATAGAACTTGACACCTCTGGGTTCACTCCATCCACCCCTCTGTGGGAGGGCCTGGGGCTATTGTCATTGATCTCCAGAAGTGCTCCCTGGGTGATAGTAGCCGGAGCTCTTGTTTCTCAGGGTTATGTGGAATGAAACTATTGCGAGTGCTATAGTCAGCCATGTGAGGTGACATTGTTCACCCTCATGGTTGGGTTCTTGAGCTGATTATGTGGTATACCAGGTCTCAGTGATTTTAGTCCAACTACAGTGTATCCTAGAAGCAGCTCCAGTTAATTGAGCATTTATGTACATCCATCCTCTTAGTGGGGTGGAGATTTGGGTCCCCTGTTTGATCAAAAAGAATATCAGAGGTTGGAGGGAAGCCCCTCACCTCACACCAAGCGTTCTCATAAGCTGGCCAGTAACCATGTCTCCTGATTATGCCTTACATACAGGTGCTCACTCCCACATCCGGGGACTGGGGCTGGATGATGCCTTGGAGCCACGGCAGGTAGAGCAAAGGGGACTGGGGTGTGAGGGCTGCTTCATCACTGCCTTGGGCAGTGGGCAACAGGGCTCTGGGGATGTTAGGTACTATGTTCTGGTCTTTCAAGACTTTAAATACATATTTATAAAATTCAGTCACACATGGGGGGTTTTTTTGGGGGGTCCTGGGGATTGAACTCAGGGGTACTCAACCACTGAGCCACATTCCCAGCCCTATTTTGTATTTTATTTATTTAGAGACAGGGTCTCACTGAGTTGCTTAGTGCCTCGCCGTTGCTGAGGCTGCCTTTGAACTTGCAATTCTCCTGTCTTAGCCTCCCAAGCCTCTGGGATTACAAGTGTGCGCCACTGTGCCCGGCCACACATGGAGTTTTATTAAGTTAGAGTAGAGAAAATGTCTTTCTTTTCTTTTCTTTTTTTTTTTTTTAATTGTTGATGAACCTTTATTTTTTATTTATATATGGTGCTGAGAATCGAACCCAGTGCCTCACACTTTCAAGGCAAGTGCTCTACCAGTGAGCCACAACCCCAGCTCCCATTTTTCTTTTTTCAGAAGTCCCAGGCACCAACATCTGCTTTCATTTCACTAACCAGGATGTAGTAGAAATGCAGTGGCGGCCCAGTAGGAAGTCACCTCACACGCTCTCACCTCCCACCTACAGGCTTCCCAGGGCATGGTGGGTCAACTGGCAGCCAGGCGGGCAGCCGGAGTGGTGCTGGAGATGATCCGAGAAGGGAAGATTGCTGGGCGGGCGGTCCTCATTGCAGGCCAGCCGGGAACTGGGAAGACAGCCATTGCCATGGGTAAGAGGCTTCATGGGGGGCTGGGACTGTGGCTCAGCGGTAGCACACTTGCCTGGCATGTGTGAGGCACTGGGTTCGATTCTCAGCACCACGTATAAATAAATAAAATAAAATCTATCAACAACTAAGAAAATAAAATTTTAAAAAGGAAAAAAATTAAAAAAAAAAAAAAAAAGCCCTCATGGGGCAGTTTTCCTGATCTCTGTGAAATAATTCCTCCTATATAAATCAGGGTCAGGTTCAGCTGCATTTGATGGACAACCCAAAATCACAGTGGCTTAAACATCCAGGGTTCATTCTTTCACATAGAAGGCCCTGAAGTAGCCATTTAGGACTTATTGAGCAGTTCCATGAGGTCTTCTATCTTCCTACCTCAACATTCTCTGTACTTGCTTGTGTGTTAAAGTCACCTCATGTTCTAAGAAGGCTACCTATGCTCCAGCCTTCCCAGCTATTCCCCAAGCAGAGGAAGAAAAAGAATTGTATGAAGGTGTACCTTCCTATAGTTAACTCCCTTGAGGCAGCTTTCTTAGAAATCCCATGTACTTTTGACTAGAAATTGGTCCTATGGTCACACTCTGCTACAAAGGAGACTGAGCCATTAAGGAAGTTTAATTTTTAGATTTTTGAATTTGGATTATTGTTGCCTTAATGAGGCTTCTAGAACTGAGGAAGAAAAGGAAGATGGTCGTTGAATAGACAGTTAGCAGTCCCTATAGCAGCCCACTAATGATTCATGATCTCTTTACTCAGTAGGCATCTCATCTTGTTGAACCTCATCCTTCAGAACCTATTCAGCCAGGCATAGGGTGCATGCGTGTCATCCCAGGGACTTGGGAGGCTGAGAAAGGAGGACTGCGAATTTAAAGCCAGCCTGGGCATCTTATTGAGACTCAGCAATTTAGCAAGACCCTGTCTCAAAAAGTAAAAGAAGAACTGGGGAAGCAGCTCAGTAGTAAAGCACCCCCGGGATCAATTCTTAGTACCAAAACAAACAAATAAAAAACCCACTCAGTTATCTCAGCCTCCAGTCCTTTTTGTTTCTTATTTTGAGGCAGAGTCTTACTTAAGTTGTTCAGGCCAGACTTGAACTTGTGATCCTCCTGTCTTGGTCTCTCAAGCAGCCAGGATTACTGTTGTGCGCCTCCACCTGCTCTATGAGGCTTGCTTTGACCCGCTTTTCTTTACATTCAGTTCCACCTGTGCTCAGACTGTGGAGCTAGGCAGTGAGAATCCAGATAACCAGGATTTCAGTTAGGAAAAGGCAGGAGTCACTCAGCTGCCCTGGTGTGCCTGGCCTTGACTAGACCTTGAGGACCCATAGCTCCAAGGCTTGGATTTAAGGGAGCTTCCAATCTAAGGAGGTCGCTTTGACATGGTCCCATTCTAGGTGATGTGTGCTATGGTAGAAGTAGCATAAGATGGAAGAAGCTCTTGACCCTATTAGAAGGGGAAGGGAAATGTGGCAGGTGGGAGGGGTGGCTTCCCAAATAAGTGGACCCTGGAGCGACTTGCCACGGAGGAGATGTGGGGGACCTGGTGCCGGAAGCCACCTGCCTACCCGCCTGCTTCTCCCCAGGCATGGCCCAGGCACTGGGCCCCGACACCCCGTTCACAGCTATCGCCGGCAGTGAGATCTTCTCCCTGGAAATGAGCAAGACCGAGGCGCTGACACAGGCCTTCCGCCGGTCTATTGGTGTTCGCATCAAGTGAGCGCTGGGCCCGTTGTCAGGGTGGGAGGGTTGTCCCAGCTCCCAGTGGCCAAGGGACAACCCATTTATGGTGCTGTCCTTTGCCCAAGTGCCTGTGGGAGCTGGTGATTCCTGAGGGCCTGGGTGTTGGACTGAGCCCTCAGGTCTGCTCTCTGGCCAGGGAGGAGACTGAGATCATCGAAGGGGAGGTGGTGGAGATCCAGATTGATCGGCCAGCCACAGGGACGGTGAGTCTGCGAGTGTGTTCCTGGCTGAGGTCGCCTCCACCCCGGGGTTGGAGGGCAGGGTTGTCAGGTCTGTACTGAGATCAGAATTCCATAGAAAATTCTAGCTACAGGTCAAAGCTATTCAAGTACTGGCTGCAGGGGTTAGTTGAATTGGCCGTGGTTTATCCGTTGTCCAGGGACCTGGTGAGCTGTTAAGACTGGGCTAGTGGAACGATGAGAGAGGAGTTCTGGAATTTTCTCACGGTTCTCTTCTACCAGTTAGGCTTTAAAACCTGCTCTGTGGGATTTAAACAGCTTAGTGCCCAAGGGTGTGCCCATCCAGCCTCTGAGACAGAGGTGGTTCACTCCCTTTTCTTTAAGCTAAAAATTTTTTGTTATAAATAAGACATGTATAAAGAAACATGTTTTAAAAAGTGTGAATTCTGATAAATCATTATGAAACAAATACCCTATAACCACTCCTAAGAAAAAACTTAAATTTGCTAGCCCATCAGAACCCTTCCGTCACCGAGGCTGCCACAGAGGTGGCCATCCTTCTCTGTATTTGCTTCTTGCAGCATTTTTAAGAGAGTCTTCAGCACCCAGCTGGGAGTTCTTAGATGCTATGGTTTGTCCTGCCTGTGGTTTTCTCTCGCTCCTTTTTTTTTTTTGAGATAAAATCACATAATGCAAATTAGCCATTTTAGAGTGGAAATTCAGAGGCACTTGGTACATTCACACTGTTGTGCAACCGTCACCTCCATCTAGTTCTAGAGCTTTTCCACAGTCCTAAAAGGAACCTGTCCCCTAAGCATTGGGTCCTCATTCTCCCTGTCCCCCAGCCCTGGCAGCCTCCTGTCTCTGGACTGCCTGTTCTGGGCATTTCGTGGAAATGGACATGTTCAGTTTGGGCCCTTTGTGTCTGGTTGCTTCCACTCTATGTGATGTTTTTGATGTTCATCTGTTTTTTGTGGTTATCTTTTATATTTAGTCTCCACTGCTAATAAAATGCTTAGGAAAAGAAAACTTCAAATGTACTTCAAGCCATTGACCTAATCCTTGGTCACCTTTGTCTTTGGTTTTGTATATACGTCCTCTTCTTTTTTCATATGCTCCTCATTTTTAATGGAGACTTAAAACGCATCACTACATTAACTTGCAGTTTTAATAACTACAAACAGTCCTTTAAAATTAGTTCCATGTTTTACCAATTAAATTTTGAATGGTAAAAATATGGCAAAATATTTAAATATGGGGAAAGCTATTTCCAAGGTAAATCTTTAAACCGGATTTTTGTCATAAAAGAAGTCCACAGATGTATCCTCCCCATGAAAAATGTCAACCCAGTGGTCGAGTGTGGTGGTAGAATGCCGGCCCTGGCTTGAGGCCCTGGCTTCCACCCCCAGCACTGCCAGGGGGGAAAAAAAAAACCAAGTAAGCCCAGAACTCCTTTTTATTCCCTCCTTTAATCCTGGCCTTTAATCCTGCCTCATGTCCCTACAAAACGCTTGCAGCTTAATTCCAGACTGCAGAGATAGTCCAGATCCCTGGGGAAAGCTGGGACAGTGTTAACTGAGCTTATCTTGTGGGGAGGAGGTGTGAAATTTCTCTTTTCTCCTTTTTGTTTAGCCGGTTTTTTCCCAGCTGGCTTGGGCACACCTATAGTCCCAGTTGCTCAGGAGGCTGCCGCTGGAGGATCACTTGAGCTCACAAGTTTGCTACTAGCTTGGGCAACATAATGAGACAGCATCTGAAAAGAACCAAAATCAAGACACCCTTTTTTGAGTTGAGAAGTGAACGTTAGCTTGTGATCCACTTTAGGCCTGTGGTACTGGTTTCAGTAACTTATGTTTATTGTATGTATGAACAGCTTCGTTGAGTTGTAATTAACATACAGTGAGCTGTACATATCAAAAGGGTTCTGCATGGCGAGCTCCAACCTGTGTGTCCCCGTGTCAAGGCAGTGGGTACATCCCTCTCCCCAAAAGCTGCCTGCCCAGTTTGGAGCTGGGTAAATAGTGAATAGAGTAGGAGCAGGGAGCTTCATGGTGACATCAGAGTTCTCTGAGCCCTTTCCCTGGCTTGTCACTTTCTCAGGGTTCCAAGGTGGGCAAGCTGACCCTCAAGACCACAGAGATGGAAACCATCTACGACCTGGGCACCAAGATGATTGAGTCACTGACCAAGGACAAAGTCCAGGCCGGGTGAGCAGCTGGAGACTGCACTGAGTAGCTGGAGTTTTGGGGGAAGTTTAGGTCCTTTCCTTTCCTCACTCCTGTTCTTCCTCCTGCAGGGATGTGATCACTATCGACAAGGCCACAGGCAAGATCTCCAAGCTGGGTCGCTCCTTCACACGTGCCCGTGACTATGACGCCATGGGCTCCCAGGTGCAAATGGGGCCCTCGGATGTTTCCATCTCCTCTCCCACTCCTTAGCCCATGGAGCCCTGCTGTCATCCTGACCCTGTATCCCTTTGGTACTCCTGGGTGTTCCCTTAACCCTAGGGTAGCTGGGACCTCTCAGCCTAGCACTGCAGCTCTGCATTGCCTCAGGCTGCCCATGGTGTCCAAAGCTTTGGGAACCCCATAACCATCAGTACTCTTCAAGGACCTAGTCTCCCTTAGACCGACCCCCACCATGCCCTTCTCTGCCCTCACACCCCACCCTTGCCCTGTAGACCAAGTTTGTGCAGTGCCCAGATGGAGAGCTCCAGAAACGCAAGGAGGTGGTGCACACTGTGTCCCTGCATGAGATCGATGTCATCAACTCCCGCACCCAGGGCTTCCTGGCTCTCTTCTCAGGTCAGCCCTACCCTAGACATGGCATCTTTCCTCAGACACCTCTGCTCCTTGACTTTCTCTCCTTCGGCCCCTACTAGCTGTCTGCTGTTCTTCTTTCTCAATGAGTTTGGTTCGTTCGTCTCCGTTATTGCCATCCAAGTCCTTCTCTCAGGGGGTATGAAATGGGCAGACCCTGACCTCTTTCCTTCCTCTCTGGTGCTATTTCAGACTCTCTGGTTCTTTGGTTGTTTTACCACCTTGGTCTTTCTTGCCTTCGTCCATCCCTGGCATCCATCTTTTTCTATTTGCCCACCCTCCAGCCTTGGACCTGTCTCCCCTCTGATTTCCATGATGCTACCTGTCTCCTGCAGGTGACACAGGGGAGATCAAGTCAGAAGTCCGTGAGCAGATCAATGCCAAGGTGGCTGAGTGGCGTGAGGAAGGCAAGGCAGAGATCATCCCTGGGGTGAGTGGCCAGAGCAGTGGCCAGGGTCCCGGGCAGGTGTGGTGAACAGATGGTGAGTGTGACATGTGCCCAATGTCTTCCAGGTGCTATTCATCGATGAGGTACACATGCTGGACATTGAGAGCTTCTCCTTCCTCAATCGGGCCCTGGAGAGTGACATGGCGCCTGTCCTTATCATGGCCACCAACCGTGGCATCACAAGGTGAGTGCTTGCAAATGCTTATGTTGGTGACAGGGTGCTCTAGGCGGGAGTAGTCTCAGGGAGACAGCACAGTGGCCCTCAGTACCACAGTGGTCACACATGAAAGGTGAACTTTTTCTTCTAGTTAGGCCATGGTTCAGGGCCACAGGCAGCTCTGCCCCACAAGGAGGCCTTGCTGCTCCTGTAGCCCTTAGGCTTCAGTTCCCAGACTACATGCAGAGATAGCCCAGTGCTGCAGGTCACTCACTGGGGTACTCCAAGGGCTTTTTAAATTTGGGGAGAACAGTGATATCTTAGATGCTGCATAAACCTCTATAATCAATTAAGTGACTTAGAGTTAAATACTTAGTCATCAAAATTCTTAGTATTGTTTTTTTACCTAAAGAAGTTGTGGAATATTCCTGAGACACACAGGGTACAATGTTCAGGTAAAACCCTCTACCCTAGGGTGTTACTGGCATTCTACTGTGGTCCCAGCTGGCTCTGCTCTCCACCTCATCCACCTTTGGAATCAGGAATAGGAATGGAGGAGGCGATCAGGCAGCCTGCAAGAAAGAGGATTTGGTCTGGAGGCTGTACCCAGCACTTCCATGCTTGGGTGCCTGGCTGTGCCTGGCTGCAAGGGAGCCCAGGGAGTGTTGTCTCCAGTGCCACATGCCCAGCTGAAGCTGGATATGGGCGTGGTATCACTAAGGGAAGTGGGAGACACGGCTGCACAAGGCAGTGGCAGCTTTATCTGGCTCTATTCCTGGATGGACTTCTTGAACCTTCAGAGAAGTTCAGGAGGAAGCTGGGAATTAGCTCAGTGCTGTACATATGCTAAGTGTGTGCAAGGCCCCAGATTCCATTTCTAACTCCAAAAGAAAATCAGAAGGTAGATATCAGCTCAGCCTCAATTTGCAGACCAGACCAGCAGTGACTTGTTATGGCGGTACATCTAATTGTATCAGAGCCTGAAGAGGCTCTGAGCCCTGTGTTTGCAGTAGCTGCAGATCAGGGTTTGGAACCCTCCGGGGCATTGGGAGGATGCTGACCAGTTTGCAGATTCTGTGTTTATGAATCTATTTTTTTGTTTTAATTTTTTTTTAAGTGGTACATGGACACAATATCTTTATTTATTTTTATGTGGTGCTGAGGATCGAACCCAGTACTTCACATGTGCAAGGCAAGCGCTCTAACACTGAGCTACAGCCCCAACGCATGCATCTGTTTGCTTGCTAACACTTATCTATAATCCCCAAATCAATTTTTCAGGGTCCTCTTGCTGTCACAGGTGTGCACAGAGAGGCAAATTGAAACCTCCTGATGCCACAATCTCAGTCAAAGCTGCTGGGCGTCACTCTGCCTGCTTGTTTCAGCTCCCATGTTGTAAACCAGTGCCATTTTCCTGAGCAATTTAGTGCCATGTTTTCCTGAACAGTTTAGTGCCGTGTTTGTCACTTTGTGCTTGTTTGGTGATTTCAGTTAAAAAGTCCCTCGAGCTTAGTGCTGAGGAGCGCTTAGTGTTCGTAAGCACCGGAAGGCTGGGATGAGCCTTGCAGGTATGCACCGGGCCTCAAGCAGACATGAGCAGCAGTGCTGCTGGCTAGGAGCTCAGTGTGAGAGGTCCACAGCATGTTCTCATGGAGACTTGGTGATGATTGGTTGGTGATAGTGTGGTGACCAGGGTTCACAGGGACCTAACCCTGCCTTTTTCCTCAGGAGCAGTGGCTCTGTATGTTACCAGTGACTTTACAATGCAGCTGCCATGAGTATTGAGAATTGCCTTATTTCCTGTCACTTACCATGAGCCAGGCCTGTACCTGCCCAGGTGTAGCAGGGAACAAGACAGCATGGTCCCTTTCTTTCTGGAGCTTTGTGTGGAGCAGGGAGTGGGACCTTGATCCAGTAATCCCTGGTATAGATACCTAGGATCAGCTGAGGAGGGTGCTTGGGGGATTGACGCAGCTGGGGAAGGCTGTGCAGTCAGGAGGTGATGTAATCGAGGAGCTGAAGGTTACGTGGGCTGTGATGGATAGGTAGGTAGGAATATTTTGAGAAATGGGAACAGAGAGCTGGGTTCTGGGAACATCACCTGACAGCCCTTCCTGCCGTCTTCCCCAGGATCCGGGGTACCAGCTACCAGAGCCCCCATGGCATCCCCATTGACCTACTGGACCGGCTGCTTATTGTCTCCACCTCTCCCTACAGTGAGAAGGACACAAAGCAGATCCTCCGCATTCGGTAAGTTGGGTGGCCCGTGCCCTCCCTGTTTTAGTAAGGTTGGGCGGGGCCTGCCTGGGCCTGTGGAGAGAAGTCTAAGTGGGGCATCCTGGCAGTGACATCTGACCCAGAGGAGGTACTGGTGACTGATATGGGGAAGAAAGCCTTAGATTGAGGGTCAGGGGGTCAGGAGGTCCAGGCCCACCCTGCCTCAGTGGCTCTTCTAGCTTCAGCAACCTGTGGTTCTGAGATTCATGCTCCACTTGTACCCCAAGGGCGAAGAGCCAGGGGGATCCTGCAGTCAGAGGCCCAGCTCTGGCTGAGTGTCTGTCCCCTGCCCACCCGCCTGCAGGTGTGAGGAGGAAGACGTGGAGATGAGCGAAGACGCCTACACAGTGCTAACCCGCATCGGATTGGAGACTTCCCTGCGCTATGCTATCCAGCTAATCACAGCTGCTAGCCTGGTGTGCCGGAAACGCAAGGTCAGCCAGCTGAGTCAGCCAGCAGGGACCAGATTGAATGAATGACCCACTCCTCCAAGGGCTTTCAGTGGGGACTTATATTAAGTCCCAGAGTATATGTTTTCAAAGGCAGGGAATTTTTATCCTTAGGGCCTTAGTGTTTGCTTGTTTCTTTTTTTTTTGGCAGAGCTGGGGATTGAACCTAGGGCCTTATGTATGCAAGGCAGGCACTGTACTAACTGAGCTATATCCCCAGCCCCACTTAGTGTTTATTTCTTTATCTCTTGTCCAGGCACATAGTAGGTGCTCAGTAAATACTAATTATAAGTAGATCCTAAGTTCATCTCACAGAGGAAGAAACTGAAGGACAGAGAGGCTGGTCTGCTCATCAAAAGGTGGCTGAGGCGGGATTTGAACCCAGGAGATCTGGCCCAGGATCCTCTCCCTTGTCTGCCAACCTCTGTTGCCTGGGATGTGGCAGTGGCTTGAGCTGGGGTCTGTGTGTCCTGGGCCTCTTGGAGAAGGCCCACTGAGAACTTGCCCTCCCTTTTTAGGGTACAGAGGTGCAGGTAGACGACATTAAGCGGGTCTACTCACTCTTCCTGGACGAGTCCCGCTCCACGCAGTACATGAAGGAGTACCAGGATGCCTTCCTCTTCAATGAGCTCAGTGAGTGTCCCTAGTCTGTGCCCAGTGCTCCCACTGTCGCTCTTGATGGGCAGCATGGGGAGCTTGGTGGGAGAACTCAGGCCCTGTCTCCAGGCCACACTAACCAGGTGGCTTCCCTCCCTTCTCCCCACAGAAGGTGAAACCATGGATACCTCCTGAGCTGGATGCCGCCTCTGTACCCGCCTGTTTTCTACCAGAGTTCTGACACTGTGACTTTGTATAAAATGGTTTTGAAACTGAACCCAAGGTGTGCTGTGTGTGTGCCGCCCTGAGCCCACAGAAGGACACCTACGGAGTGCAGATTGAGAAGCCTTTATTGAGAGGGGAGGACTGGAGCACGGGTGGGCTCCAGAAGCTGGGGTGGGCAGTGAGTTGGGAGGGGAGGCCCTTAGAGGAAGAGGAGGCCTGGAAGGTGGGGGAGGTCACAGGCCAAGGGTTGAGCTCTGGGACCCCCGCAGTCAGAACTGCTGAGGCGACAGGGCCCACAGTGGCAGCTGAGGGCCACTGGGAAGGAAACTATGGGGTCCACACCAGGCGGGCAGCCGGGGAGCCGGATGGAGGAGAAGCGCAGCTCACGGTAGGTGCACACTGGCTGGGGCACAGGCGGCAAGGCAGCTGGCAGTACCCGAACCTGGGGGCAGGATGTGGGCGGCAATGAGCATCTGCTTGGCATCAAGTCCTGGTCTCAGATGACCATGAAATCACCCACCACCTTTCCACACACCCAGCACTAACTCCCATCCACCTGCCCCAGATGCCAGACCATCCATCCACCCTGCTGCCACCTCCCATCTTGTGTGGGTGTGCAACTGAAGTGACAGCCCCCTCCTCAGGCCAGAAGTGCTGTCCTGCCTGCTGGGTAGCTCACCATGCTGGGGCAGTAGCCAGCACAGATGCTGGTGGTGAAGGTGATGCAGACTGGGCAGGCCTCGTGCTCAGCAGCCAGGGTGGCGTTGATAGGCCGACACAATGGCCGAAGTGGACCCCTAGAGGCCCACACCCCACTCATGCTCAGCAGCAGCCACAGCAGCAACCCCTGGGACAAGGCCAGTGCCTCAGGCCCAGCCTGAGACCTCAGTCCTTGCCCTCCAGTCTCCTGAATACACACATTCAGGACCAGGGGTCCTGCCCAGTATCTCCATTCAGAACATTCTCTGCTTTGATCCTCTATCCCTGACACAGGCCTTCAGGGTCCACCCCACATCCCAAGGGACCCCAGATGCCCCAGTTGTTAAGATACCTACCCTCAGGTGTGCTCCACCCACTTCCCTCCTGCAGGAAGCCTGCTGGTTGTCACCCTGCTAGAAAGAGGCTTCCTTCACAGGTCACAAGACTCCCTCTATGCCAACTGTGGCCTGGGTAGAGTTGGGAGGTGCCCAAGGGCCCTACAGTCTTACCTGGAGCATCTCCATTCTTGATGCCTCCCCTACTTCCTCTACCTGGCTTTATACCTGTAGGTTGTGGGGGCGGCAAGGCCACTAAGCAGTGGCAGCAAGCTGGGGTAACCTGGACACTAATCCCCCTGGGGGCGAGAGACAGACAAGGTCAGGGAAGCACAGGAGTGCTCTGCTCCTCCCCTTGGTGACTTGGTGTTGCAGGGGTGAGTCAGCACAGTGATGGTGAAGGCACAGACTCAGACCTGAGCCTAGTCCCTGTTGGAAGCACAGGAAGTGGGATACTAGAGTTCCTGGGCCAGCTGGGTGAGGTTGTGCATGCCTGTTAATCCAGGGGGCTCTTTAGGCTGAGGCAGGAGAATCACCAGCCTCAGCAAAAGTGAGGCGCTAAGGACTCAGTGTGACCCTGTCTCTAAGTAAAATACAAAACAGGGCTGGGAATGTGGCTCAGTGGTTGGATGCCCCTAAGTTTAATTCCCCGCCCCCCCCCCCCAAAAAAAAAAAAAAAAAATCCCTGGGCCCATCACAGGAGGAAGGCTGTAGACTCTAAGCCAGAGGTTCTTGGCTGAAGCCACAACTCTGCTGCACTGGGACAGGCTGAAAGACACGGTTCCCCTGGTAGAGTCCAACAGGAGTGGGTTGGGGGGCTTCAGTATTAGATTCTATGCAAAGAGGGCTTCTAAATTTCTGTGCTGAGTGGGGTCTCGCTCTCCTCCCGATGCCGCACAAGAGATTCAGCCAGAGCATCTCCCCCACACCCACATTCTCAGAGATTAAGGCCCCAGAAATGAGTGTGATTTAGGTTATTTAACTCATCGACTACATTAGGACCCGCCCCCTCTTCTGCAGAGGACTTGTCCCTTTTGCTCAGCTTCAATACAAGTTTCCTGGGGTCCAAAAAGGAGTGGGCGTGTCTAGAGTTAGCCCGGCCCACATCAAAAAATTCGATGGGCGTATCTGGCTCGGCCCCACATAATGGGTGGGGCTCCTAAGCTTGGCTCCTCCTCACAGTTTAGCAGGTGGGTTCGGGGGCGGGACTGGCCCGGCCAGCTCAGACTAACTCTGGCTTCAAACTGCCATAGCGAGAGTTCTCGGTGCGGTAGGCTTTAGGCACGCTGTAGATGCCCGGCAAGGGCTTCCAGTGGGGGCCACCCCAAGGCGCCTCCACTGGGCAGAAGCGGTCAAGCCGGTGAAGTGGGTGCGCCGGGGGGCTATAGGACTCCTGAGCCAGAGTCAGGGCCCCGCGGTGCGGCACGGCTGGAGTCCCCGGGCGCACGTGGGGCAAGCGGGCCCGCGGTGGTCCGGGCGGCAGTGAGAAGCGAGAAAACTGTGTCCGCTGCGAGCCGTGGCCCTGGACCTGAGGCATCTGGAACTTCCAGTAGGTCAGCGTGTCTTTGCAGGGGTATCCGGACAGCTCCTTCCTGTGGGAGGGAGGCAGCATGGGGAGGGCTTCATCCTTGGGACCAGGCTGAGCTTCAAACCTCTGATCCAAAGGAGACCGCAGACCTGAACTTTCTGCTTTTCGAGGGAGGGACACGTTTGTAGAAGCTTTAGGAAGGGGACCCGGAGACATGGAATCCGGATTCCTGGGTCATTGAGGTACTTAAGGGCCTGGAAATTGGTGTTTTCTCATCCTTGGGAAGGAATATCTGGGGGCTCAAATACCAAAAGAAGCTCCACCCTAAGCCATCAGGACCCCGCCCCCAAATCCAAAGCCCTGTCTGCAGGCTTCCCAACCTACCAAGTTAAGAACACCTAGATGCTGATGGGGGTAGAGGCTAGGGTCCAAACTTCGGTTCTTGCGTGTGCAAGAGTTGAAGGTTGAGTTAGAAAAGAGGACTGGGCTCCCACCGGCATCTACGGGGATGTGCTGCAAGGTGGTGCCTAGCAAGGACGTGGGCTCACTTTGTGTAGAAGCGGAAGTCTCGGGCAGAGGTGGTCAGATAGAGCTGATTGTGGTCCAGGACTCCCTGGTCGGATATTGTGAAAGGCCGGCCAGCCAGCTCAGAGCTCTTGGTCCAGGGAATTAGGGCCTGAGGGCGATTGGGTGGGGGATGGGCGAGAAAGATGCCAAGTACCCGGTTCCAAGCCCGGGGTACAGGCTCTTCCGTCTCAACAACCCTGCTGGACCAGGCCCTACTACTGTGCCCTAGATCAGAATTCCTCCCGACCAATCCCACACCAGACTACTTTAGCTTCGCTCCTTAATTCAGAACCTTTATGAGCCCTCCTGCTCCAATCCAAACACTTCTTACTAGTCAAGGAATTTAAATCCAAACCCGCAGCCACAAAAAAGTAAAACATACCTTCCACTACCAAACATTTTTGGTTCTGTTACTGGAACTCAGCAGCATTTTAGGCAACAATTGCACTTTACCTTTTCCTCGCCAGCTAAACCGAATCTCACCTCCCATCCCTACCCGGTCTCAGAATACTCCAGTCTCGTCCCCAGGGACGGAGAGCCACCTGGTCCGATCCCACCAGCCTAAGGCTTCTATTTAGCTCTGCACCAGCCTCGCCGTCCCTACCTCCTTTAGGCTCCGCCTCAAAAGGCCCCAGCCCCGCCCCAGCCTCTGTATCCCGTTTTCGGCTCTACATCCTTTAACCACGCCGGAAAAGCAAAATTCCTTTTGGCTCAGCCCCAGGATTCCCTAGCCTGCTCCCTAACCTCAGAGCCCCTCCGACCCTGCCCCAGGGGCTCCAAACTCTGCGTGGTAGCACCAGCACGGTGCCACTACGCTACCTGGGAAGGGCCCCCGCGATGGTGGTCTGCCAGCTCCGAGGGCTGGGGCCCGACGTAGGAGACGACGCGCCGGTCCTGGCTGGGCCAACCCCTGTACTGTGCCTTGGTCTCGCTGCTGTGGTGTTTTGTGATCAAGGGGAGGCGCCAGCCTCGGTGTGTGAGCTGCACGAAGGTGACCCAGAGAACCAAGGTGAGGACAGAGGACTCCATTGCGGTCCCCAACCCTATCCTCCTATGGACTCCGGAATCCCAGAACCTTACTTTTTCTCCTAAGGTCTTAATCCCTACTGTCCGCGTGGGGTCCGCAGGCTCTGGGGCTTTGGGCTGAGCGTAGGGCCCACCCAGGCTTTTGGGCACGTGGGCAGAACCGTAGGTCGTCTCCCATCTGCTGATGACTTCGTCGAAATCCCAGATGTGTAAATGATGCCTTGCGGCGGGGGGTAGGGGCTCAGCGACCGTGGACTGAAGAGAAGGCGCAGCAAATGAGCCCAAAAGACTCAGGAGTCCGCCCTGCCCCCTGTCCCAGTTCCTTCAGCATCCAGGTTCCCGGACCCCTTCTCTCTCAGGCCCAGGACTCCAGGACCCTCCTCCGACAGCCAGGGGTCCAAACCCCCAATCCGCTTTTCTCTCAGCACCCAGGTTTCTGTATCATTAAGCCCTGTCTATGGTCCTCTCACCTGTACAGTGGGCGGGGGAAAGGACGCGGAGGGGATAATGTGGTGGGCAACGCCACTGATGGTTAGATGCCAATCCGGCCAGGATCCAGGCACCTCGGTTCCAGAAATGGGAGACCACGGGGGGCCATAGCGCAGGGCTAGGGTCCTACCCGCCATGGTCCCACCCCCCAGCCGGCGGCCTAGCTGGAGCTGGCTTGTTGTTGCTGTTGCCAGGTGACAGAATCCGCCCACCCTGAACCCAGCCAATGAAGGACCAGCCGGCTCCTGGATCGATGGAGACACTCCGGATAGAGACAGAGACTTTGAGAAAGGTGGACAGGGCCCCAAATAGGGGCATAGAAACAGATACACGGGGAGGGTGTGGAGACTGGGGGAGAGGGAAGGGGAGGGGGGGGCCGAACGAGGGTAGGGTGGCAGGGGCTGGGGGGGGGGGAGAAGGAGATCGGAGAGTTTCGGAGGGGGAGAAGGGAGGCAGACGCCCAGAAGCAGACTCCAGAGAGGCAGGAGGAAAGAGAGACCTCTTAGCACATCAAGGAATCCTTCAGAAATACCCTCTTTCCTATAGGGTTCAAACCCTCCAGCTGCCTCCCCCTCTGCCAGGCCTGCCCACCTCGGAGTAACGAATTCCAGACCGCCGGGTCGCTCCCCTCCACCCATGTGTGCTGAAGGAGCAGCGGCGCCGCCAGCCATCCTGCCTGCCTTTGATTTGGCTGAAAACTTCCACCTGGGTATAGGAGGAGGGAGCGAAGAGCAGAGACCCCAAGAGAAATCCACAGGGAAATACTTGAGGGGGAAAAGGGGGGTGGGAAAGCATGTGCTACTAAGAGACTAGAGACACAGGAAATTAGAGAGACAGAGGGAGGTGACAAAAAAAAGAGTGGAATCAAGGAGATGTAGAAACAGAGGCAGCAAACCCTGTCCTGTCCAGGGGCCAGTCTCAGGCCATGGAGGGGGGCAGGGCTATCTAGGTCCTTAGCACAAAGCTGGACCTAATTTGTGTGTGTGTGTGTGTGCGCGCGTGCGCATGCATGTGAGTGCCTACACATGTACACAGGTGTGGGACAATGCAGTGGTAATACATGGACATTTTGAGAGTGTGGGGACTTCCCTTGTCACCTTCTCACTATAAAGAGCTATTGGTCAAGGCTTCTGCCTCCTCGGCCCCCATCATTTCATCCACCAGCTCTATCTTCAGACAGGGAAAACTGAGGCTACCTTCTGCAGCCTGGCCCAGGGTCCATTGCCACCGCCCCCCGCATGCCATCCAGACCTCAAAGACACTGTTGGATTTTCCTGGTCCTACTCAAAGCCTATCAGTGTCCACTGAGCCCTTATCCCAGGTGAGGGCAGGCCAACTGTCAGAGCCTACTCAAGCTAGACAACTTTAAGACATATTCCATTTCCAGTGTGGGGTAGAGGTTGGTGCAGGAAAGTGGAGCTAGAAACCTGAATCCAACTCCCCAGCCAGGGTTGAAGGATCCCGCATCATCCTGATAGTTCCTCTTATGATACAACCCTGTGTGTGCTCCCACTGTGATGGACAGCTGGCCTACTACCTCAAAACAGAATACCTTTTTTAAGCCAACATTTGCCCTCTGACCAAGAAGGAGTTCTCATTTGAAAGTATGCTCCCAGATAATTAAAAACCTTCCATAGACCATGTTTCTCAAGGTCCTCTGGCTAGTTGCTTGCATGTTCCAGTTTCTACTCAGCCACCACCCACTTCTTGACACATTCCTTCCTTGTCCCTCTCTCCAGAGTGGGTAAGGCAATGTCCTCTGAGCTTGAGAGGTCAGCAACTTAAAACCAAGGGCCTCTGGTTGGGGTTGTGGATCAGTGGTAGAGCACCTAGCACATGTGAGCCACTGGGTTCTATCCTGAGCACCACATGAAAATAAAGTTATTAAAAAAAAAAAAAAACAAAACAAGGGCCTCTGATGGTCAAATCCATGAGAACCAATCTGAGCAGTAATGTATTGGGGCTGATTAAACAGTAAGCACTCAGTAAATATTGGCTATTATTGTTATTTCCATGATTACCCTTCAAGCTCCTTCAGAAGAACTCCTATTCATCCTTTGAAACCCCATTTGCTTTAGTTGTACATCCTGCATGGATTGAGATCTTAAAATTAGAGAGCTTTGATTTTGTGATCACTTAAGTTCCCAAACTGAGGCCCTTAGAGCAGCCAGGCCATCCTTGAAGTCCCTGAGCATCCAGATCTCTTCTTTGCCTGATCAGTTCCTGGGCATGGGCCTTATGCCCGGCCATTCCGGCTGAGTAGTGTGCAGACGCAGGCAGTGTCAATTCGTATCCATCGCCAGCCCACACGGCCCTGGGCATCAGAAGTCAATGCCCGCACGTAAGACTGCTTGGCCTTGCACTCGGACACCCAGTGCTTCCGGTCCACGCCCCGGCAGCTTCCTCCACCTGCACCAGGACCATCTTCCCCAGCACCATCAGCCTTGCAACGTGTCTCGAAGAAGTACTGCCGCAGGGGGCTGCCACCAGCTGCAGGCACCTCACCTAGCACCTCCACCTCTCGCCCACGTAAGTCCACAGCTGTCCGACGGTCAGTCACCCAGCCGCTCACTGCGTCACAAACAGCCAGCTCACCCCGGCGACTTGCTGGTGCCTTCTCGCTCACCCCACGCCGACTGCGGTTGGCTGGGGCACCCGCTGGCTCCCCAAAGGCCCCAGCCTCCAGTAGGAAGAGCAGAGGGGGTCCAGCAGGGGCAACCCTGGACAGGGCTACTCGGGGGGACAGAAGGTCCCACTCAGGGGCCAGAAATGGGGGCAGTGTTGAGGGTGGAGGGTGGAGCTCCACTGGGACACTGGGGAGGAAGAAGAGCAGGAGGATGGGGAGGGAGTAGGAGGGGTGGGGGAGCATCTCTCGGGCACCTGAGGACAGAGAGAGGGAGGCTGGGGTTAGAGAAGAGGTAGAGACCTCCAAGGAGTGGAAGTGGGAACCACAGGGGGATTATATACTAGAACTGGGAAAGCCCTAGGGGGACCCTATGTTCTCAGACTTGGGTAACCCCCAACTTGTAAATTAATAATAATTATTCAATTACTTTTACTTCATAGCCAAACAAATGGGGAAATGCAGGCTCAGAGAAGTTATTGACTTGCACCAGGTCTCACAGCCAGCAATGGCAGAGGTGGGGTTTGAACTCTGAGCAACTCCACTTGGCCCTCCTGCCTCTAAAACCCCCAGGAATCTTAAGTCCTATGGCTTAGAGGACAGTCCAAAGCTTTGAAACCTGGAATTTGGAATCCTAGGGAGTCCCATTTTCAGCCCCAAATTACCACTAACTTCCCATCTCATGTATGAAACTGACCCTGGGCTGGGAGAGGCTGGTGAGGTGTGGTTATAGCTGTTTGTCTACAACATTCTGGAAGCCTGGAGAAATCTGGGAAGCAGCAGGTGTTTGCCAGACCTGTCACCACCTCCTCCACCTTGAAGCTCCGGGGTTGGGGGACCCTGTGGAGGACACAGGTGGCCCCCTCCTTCCTGACATCTCAGGAGAGGGAGGGGGCAACCACCTGGGGGAAGAAGGGGACAGACAGATTATATAGGCAGGTGGGGGAGGGGCTTGAGCCCCTGAGCACCCCCTTCCCAGACAGTGAACGCCAGGCCCCTTCCCAGAGCCCCCCTCCCTGCCCAGGTGATGGCTTCTGGCAGGATGGGAAGCAGATGGGGGAGAAGAGGGGAGGGGAGAGGCTGCAGATGAAGGAGACTGGAAAAGATTACATCTCCCCTCCTCCCATTCATCTCCCAGACAGGGCGGGGGCGGGGCTGGCCTGGCCTGGACACCCAGGTCCTGAGGGCCCACACTCAAGAAGCCCTGGGTCCCCGAGAGGCTGCTTCCTGGAATGTTCCCTCCTCACAGGACAGGCCAGGGCCCGCCCAAGACTTCTACTGCACATACCTGGAGTGGCTGCCTGCCCTGGCTGGGAGACGGGGAGATGGGAAGGTTGGGGTGTGAAAAAGAGCGCAGGTTGATCCAACCAGGACCGGGAGTGTGTCCCCAGCTGTCTCCACCCTCAGACTAAGCGTCCTGGTCCCCAGCTGCCTCCTTCGGACCAAGGAGTCCAGGCGCCTCCTAAGCCCCAGCCTGCCACCTCCTCCAACCCCGGAGTTCTAGAGTTTAGAACCTCCGGGTACAAAAAAGTGCGAACTCCCTGTCTCTTCCCCCAGGAGATTCGGGCTGGGGACGCGGACCGAGTCGCGACTGGGGCAACCAGCTCCGCGTCTGGGACACTTTCCTCCTGCCTCAGTTTCCTCCGACAAGCCCCGCCCTCCCGGCCCCGCCCCCGCCCCTCCCTACCCGAGGGCAGGGCGACCGGGACGCCGGAATCCCGGAGGAGGAGGCGCGAGGCTCTTACCTGGGGCGCCCTCCTCTGCTCCCCGGCTGCCCCTGGCGCGGCGGCGGCTCCTCCTCCGGCTCGCTGGCTGCAGGGACGCCCGCTGGCCCGCCGGCTCCGCGCGGCTCGCGCTCGGGAGGGCCTGGGGCGGGGGCGGGGGCGGGGCGGCGCCCGACGGCGGAGGAGGGGCGGGGGATCCCGCCTTGCACGCGCGTGCCGGGACCTCGGAAGCCCGGCCTGGCTCGCGCAGCCCCCGCACCGCGGTCCCAGGAGTCGGGGCCCAGCCCCTCCTCCCTCAGACCCGGGAGACCAGGCCCCCGCCCCCGCTCCAGACCCCGGGGTACCAACCCCAGCCCTCCTCCCTCAGACCAAGGGTCCGGGATCCCAGCCTTCCTCCCGCAGATTCGTGTGTCTAGACCCAGTTCTCCTCCCTCGGATCCAGGGTCCAGGCCTCCTCTTTCAGGCCCCCCCCTCAGATCCAGAGGTCCAGGCCCCAGCCCTCCTCTCTTACACCCAGTGGTCCAGGCCCCAGCCCTCCTCCCTCACACCCAGGAGATGGGCCTGAGATCCTATGCAGTCTTTTGCCAATTCAGTGTCAATCTGGGGGCAGATTCCCACCCTCTGCTCTCATCCCCACTTTCCCAGGAGCTCCCCGCCAGACATTAACCAGCTGGGCTTGGGCAGCGATAAGGCCCGACGCCTCAGAGACAGTGGATGTGGGGGGCTCTCCTACAGAGTCCTGTCTCCTGGAATTTCCTGGGTGGGGACTGGGGAGAGGGTCTTGTCCTGAGCTCAGACAAGAAAAGTTCAAGGTATTAAAGGACTCGGGGACAAA